CTACTTTCAAATTATCACATCTGTATTTTAAAAGAGCTAATTAGAAAATGTCTAATTGAATGGGAATTTTCTAACAAAGATAGTACACGAATCCAGTCTATGTATCTGGGCTTGATGGTGAGACAAATCACTGTCCCTGATGATGACTCGAGAGTAGGAGCCCCAGGCTTATCTCCCCATCTCCAGCCATGTAACAGGTCTTATGCTGCTTCCCCAGAACCCCTGGGTCTCACCTTCTAAAGTGCCACTGCCACCCTGCTCCCAACTGCACTCAGAATCTAAGTGTAAACATCGCTGTCGAGATGCAAATACTTTTGAGAAAAATCATATACTTTTTATGTCATTCTGGCTTTTAATAATAGTAATACACTCTTTAGCATACTTTTCCACTTGTGAAATATATTTCTCTACATATTTCATTTAATGCTCATCTGATCTTGCAGGCTAAGTATCATCATGATCATGCCCAGGGAGGCTAAAATACTTAAGCAGTCAGTCTACTATGTATAGGCTGAGCGGGAGTACTACATTTCATGGTCACACCCGTCTATCTTCTACTCCTTGTTCATTTCCATTATGAGCAGACGGATTCGAGTTGGGAGGGGGCTCCTAAAAATGTGAATGGAAAGGATTTTCCTATTACTTCTTGAGGACACAAAGTGAGCAGCTGTCAATTTCTTCCCAATTAATGTTAGTCCAGTTGTCAGTGGAATGGTTGAGAGTAAAGAATGGAGAGGGAGATAGGGCCCTATTTGAATATTGATCTTCACTGTGACTTGGAGCACGCATCTGCACTTTGAGGCAGTTGAGCACCAGTGTCACAGAATTATCGTGAGGAATATATGAGTCCGTGCATAGAGGCCATGGTTTCTGAAACATAGTGAATACTTTAAAAATACCAGATTGGCAGCAGTGTCATTATTTTTTATTTCTAGGCTAAACTCCCTTGTTGACTTTAATGGACAGGGTAAAGCAAAAGCAAAAAAAAAACTTTAAAGGGCTTCCTGCCCCAGGTTAATTGGAAATGGATCCTGAGGTCAGAAGGAGCCTGTAGTTTAGTGGGCTCAGGTGAAATTAATTAGCATTCCTATCATGTGCTGCATAATTTTGCCTCTTTCTCAAGAGCCCTTTTCAGGGCTTGCCACAGTCCATGCCTTTGCCACACAGTTTCTCGGACTGCCTCAGGCATTTGCATAGATTCTTTTGTCAAAAGCAGTCCAGCTATGTTCAGACTAAATGCAGTATCCAGCTCACAGGGGCACTGCCTGCTTGGGAGAGAACAAAGAATTTAATGAATAGGAGCTATGTATGGATAGGTTCTAACGAGAAGGGTTAACAGGCCAGAGATTCAAAAATAACTACAGTGTAGCAACTCGGGATGAGCCAACACATGATGGATATTTCCATCTAAGTGAAAGATAAAAGATACTCATTTGGAAGACCCTGCAACAGCTGTAACTTGAGATTCCCACAAATGTGTGGAAACTGTCAGTCTTACCCTAATGGCAGTACATACCCCAGCAAGAATGCCAGGAAGAATGTGAGACAGATTCTGAGAAACAGGAGCTGGATTCGCCTTCCAAGAAGCCAGCATTCTTTAGCACTGATCTAACATTCAAGCATTTTGGGGGCAGTATTTTTTTTTATGATGCCTACTGATTAAACATTTGCTGATCTCTCTCTTGAAAGAATTACAGGAATACAATAATTGTTATGAATGATCTCTTAGAACCAGGCTTATCCAAGATTCCGTCCTGTGATCCACAGCGAATTCTTACTGTGTGCTGTGTTTTTCTTTTACTTATACCAAATTTATCAATGTCTGGGGTCATTATTTGCCTGATCACAACAACATGCGTTCATGAATATGTATCAGCTAAAATCCTGCAATTTTATATGCTAATCTGCTCGTGTCTTCAGGTGTTTATAGCAATTAAGTAAGACCTTGATAAATTTAGAGGAAATAAAAAAGCTTTGATATTATGAGTGCTTATGAGGTTGAACTGCAGGCTCTGAGACAAATTATGTTTTGTATAACTATTAATTCATAGATTGGTTCATTAGATATTTTCCCACTTAGTTACATTTCTTCTTAGGAAATAAGTAATGTCTTTTTGCCTGCCTTGTTTGGCCTTCTGTGTTCATGTTCACTTATGAATGCAACCACTTTTTATCTTGAAAACTGAATATAGACCTGCTACCCTGTTGCTTTATCAAGGATGTCAGGTAATTTATTTCTTGTGAATGAGAGCAGCCATGGAGGAGACCAGATCCTGCTGTAGTCTTGTTAGGTAGGGAAGACTGAGGTGGGGAAGGGTTCCTGTGATATCAGACATCATCACTGGGGAGCAGACCAGAGAAAGCAAAGCTAGGATTTGCAACATCTCTGGGAGCGGGGAAGGGACTTGGAGTAGCATCTAGAAAAGATGTGTCATCTTGGGGACTGGGATGGGCCAGAGTGGAAATGGCATTGCAGTCCAAAGTACTGAGAGTGGCTGCAACTTGGTCACAGGCCATGACTCCAGGAAGGGGTGGAGATGAGGTTGTCAGATGTAGCAACTGAAAAGTACAGGATGTCCTGTTATATGCAAATTTGTGATAAAGAAAGAGTAATTTTAGTATCATATGTCCCATGAAATATATAGGGACACGTACACATAAAAAGTGTCTGCTGTTTATCTACTTCAAACAGGCATTTTGTGTTTCATCTGACAAACCTAGAGGGACGTGGGAGTGGGCGTGTGGTGAGGCTCACCAGACAATGTGTGCACTTGAGGAAGCCTTGTTCGCTGGGAACAATTGAAGGGTCAGCATGCAGGGGTCGCAGAGAGAAATCAAATATGATGGGAAAGGAAGGAGGGGGAAGCAAGGGAGAGAAAAGAGAAGGGAATAGAGGAAAGAGAAGAGAGAGAGCAGGGAGGGAGGGGATTGAGAGAGAGAGAGAGATATCTTGAGTAATGCTGTTAACTTTGATAACATTTTTTTTTGTAAGTGAAGTTTGTTTTACAAGAACCAGTTGCACTGTATCAGAGACAGGAGTTTTGGTGGTTTGTCATATGAAATTATCTGATCTATATGCACCAAAAATGACACCATCCCACTGAGAATGAAAGTTTTAATCTTCGGAAATTATTGTCTAGATAACACAGGAGCCGTGAATGTTGGAAACATTAAGATAATTGGTATCCTTTACACAAAAAGGCACATGACTGACTACATTTTTCCATCTTTATTCTGCCACTTTGAAGTAGGGTAGACAGCCAGACAGGCTCATCTCCAAGAGAGAATGCATCATCACGATGAAGTGGAAGATTTTCAAAAGTACTTCTTGATTTTTTTCCAGTTCATTTGATATGTCTTCACTTCTTAAATCATTTTAGGGCTCTTTGATTCCCACCCTGTTCCCTGCCCAACGCCTAGCACAGTCTGGCATGTACTAGGTGCTGAATAACCTTTAAAAGTAAAATGAATTAATGGGTAAATGAATGCCTTATTCTTATATAATTTAATCTCCAGTACAGAGATTATTCTAAAGCAAAGAAAAGCTATTTATTTAGAAGCAATGAGAAAGGACATTTATTTGGTGTGTGCTCTGAGGCAGAAATAGGCAAGACAATGTGTGCATCATATTGTATATATATGTATATAAACACACACATACATACTGATATACATGGGTACTACGACAGTTTCCTTAAATAAGCAGCCCTAGTATACATTTAAGTAAACTCAAAAATGATTGAATAAATTATGAGGATGCTCATTGACTAAGAATTAGGGCTGAGATATGAGGCTGATCTGGCTGGGCTGTTTTGACATCTCCACTGATTCCATGCATGTTGCAGGCACTTGTGTGGGCTTCTCCCTGTCTCAGAAAATGGAACATAGACAGAAACTACCAATTTTATAAGCAATGTGCATTTATCATAGATCCCTGATTCAGACTTGTAGGATAAGAGAACATCAAATTTCTTTGCTTAGAGCAAGGGCTAAAGGTCAGGATTGGCCTGACAGTGGTGCCACCATGGTACACTCATGCAACAGTTCTTGCCTTTCTCTCATGGGGGACACAGGATGAAGTGTCATCATCCATATATGATCTGTCTAAAACTCAGAGTCCATATGCTAATGTCATTCCCAATGGAAGTCTATAGGTAAGTTTATGTTGACTTTATATTTAAAATTTATAGAATTTATAATTCCTCCTTTGGCTAATTCAGTGATTAGAAAATTAATAAGTAGTAGTCTTCCACCTAAAATTTTATGCCAGGTACCAGAGAGTTTAGATAGCAGCAAACGAGATAAATGTAGCCCCTGCCTACAGGCAGACTTATCATGAAGAAATGTAAAGTTGAGATCCCCTGGCTTTAATAATATGATCACATGATCATGTGCTGTTTGGTAAAATAAGCAAAATAAACTATTTTTGTTTTGTTTTTCTTAAAGAACACTGCCCACCCATACCATAGGAGTTCTGGGCACTACAGATTCTACATCTGTTATTTCACCCTTCTAGAGCTTAGAGAATAGTGAACCAAGATTAACATTAAATATGTCATTGACAGAATAAGGTTTTCAGCAAATTTGTGTGGCTTCAGCAGAGAAGCATTTGGACTTTAGGGATGTCTGCAAAGATTTCTCTCACTAAGTAAACTGAGTCTTGCAGAATGAGTGGCTTTAGATTTCAGCTCTCTGGCAAGGGAGGAGCTATATTAATTAAGTGCAGGCAATCATGTATCCAGGTCCTGGGCTGGGTGGGGAGCGCATGGAGCTGAGAGTCTGAATAAAGCACTCCACAGTGGCTGAGCAGAGAGGGGAGAGGAGACTGAAGGGCCCAGCAACATGAGACCAGGTGGGCCTGAGAAGCATTCTGGGCTTTTTTTTTTCTAAAGAAAATGACATGCTGCTGAAAAGGAGTTACGTGATCAGGTTTGCATTAAATAAAAAACCACTCTGGCTGCAGTGTGAAGAATGGATTTTGTTTTGTTTTGACCCTCCAGGGACACCAACTGAAACACAGCTGTGACTTGATAAACAAGTGGAATATTCTTTGGTACAGAGACAGGAAATAATTCTCTCCGGGGCCATGTACCTCAGTAGCTGAGGGGACAGCAGAGCGAATTGCTGAATCAGAGCTGCAAGTGAAGGACAACTGGCTGGACAATAGGGTGGCTGTGCTGCTGCTGTCAGTGGGTGTGGGTATGTGTGAGTGCTTTCTGGACATTCTCCATTTTGTATCACATTGACTGTCAGGCTGGAGTACAAAGATGGAGGGCGAATGCTGGGAACCCGCCTTTGAAATTAACAATCTGCTATAAGAATGAGCATAATGGCAATCATTCATGTCAATGCTAGGGTCAAAATTGTGGGGGTCCTTTAAGAAGTCCCTCAAATAGAAGTAACTATATAAACTCGAGCAATGGAAACCACTTAACATGGCACACTGCACACAGCTCTCCAAATTCAGGAGGCAGCTGACTTTGGTTACTCTTACCAACTCCATTCCTGACCTGATTTTATTCTCATCTTCAGACCCTTGTATCATTCACCTTTTTGAATCTGCTCCTTAGGGTGGTCTTGTTCAGACTGCACTGTCTTACTGTTCACACTGGAATGGTACCCAGTTTCTTACTATCAAATAAAAGCCTCATGCTGACTAGGTCCAGTGGTGGTTTTGATTACAACTCCATTGCAGAGAAGGTGACAGATATTGCACAAGTTTGACCTGCATGAGGGTCTGTACATAGTCCTGAGGGACCTCTGACCCAGCCTTCCCTGACTCTACAAAATTAGTTCAGTACCACTCAGCCATGGGGGTGCAATACAGTGGCTCTTCATGACCTACCAATGAGGTAATATTTCTCCATAGAGTATGTTGATTGAGTGAAGGTTTACATTTTAAATTAGAAAGTTTTTATGCTCCGAAGACAATGATCAACTATCCACAATATTAACGAATATATAATATTTGATTTTGAAATCTGTAGAATTACAATAGCATCTATTGGCCTCCCAAGAGTCAACCCAAGAAACTAAGGCAGACTCCAAATCATCCTCGGCCTTAGCACAGAAACTTCAAAATATAGGGTTTAAAAAGTTAAATTCTGGGCAAACCATGAATAAGGTTTTTTAATGCTCTCAATGTAATTTTTCCAGGAAAGTTTTTCTCATTTTTCTATTTGGACACTATTTTGGATTTGTGTTCCTGGCAGGCTGAGAGTGGGAAAGAGGGGAAGTCGAAGAAAGGAGGGGAGCTGACATCTGAGGCCAACAGGAGGAGCCCAGAAAAGACCTGGGTGGAAGCGGCTGTGGGCGAGGTGCGGCTGAGCGGTGGCTGCTGTCAATTCTGACCCATTTCCTGGAGCCCTGGGAACTGCGCTCTCAGCAATAGTGACACTGCCCTTCAGGCAGCCAAGCCACACAGAGTGATAGCTGTCCCTGCTGTTTTCCTAAATGTCACCAGTGAAAGAAGCCTTTCCATCTCCCCAGAGTGCTGCACTTGTGGGTAAGTGGACACTTGGTTCCATTTTCCCAGCTTGCAAAAATTGCTCATAGGTCAGTCACAATTGTGTCAACTTCTCTGGTCTGAAAAGCCGGAGACATAGGTATATAGAAATGATTTTTTAAAAAATATGATCCCCCTTCCATGTGGCAGTAAAGTGTCTTTCCTGCCATTGAGAGAAACATGTGCTCTGAATTCATTTTAAAGCCATAGAAACAGATCGGTAATAGGCAATATATACCTGTTAATTTTCTGTTTTTGTCAGTTCCATACAGAATCGCATCCACAAGTGCAAATTTCTGGAAGAGAGAAGGAAGAAAAGAACAAATACAGGCCATGCCTGGTTTACGTGGCTGGCATAAGTTAAAATTCGTAAACTCCACTGCAAAAGCAATAAAGTGTCTACGTATTTTGGAAGTACTTCCTATTTCGAATCCCTTCCGGCTGTCAGGAACTTCTTCTCCAGCCAGGAGGGGATTCTGCTTCCATTTTCCCTGACCTCTAGGTTCTCGGAAGAGGATGCTGATGGATTGCTGGGCAGTGTGGTATTGTCAATGGCTGGAGCACAGGGAGGCTGTGCCACCTGGTCCTCAGCGTTTCCTGAGTCCTATCCTCGCTTGGAAGTAAAATGGGAGAAGTTGCTGAGTCCTTACTCTCCTAAGGGTGCTGTTGCCCCTCCTGCCTCCGCACTGGACTCTTCTTGCTACTCTTGGTCATTTTGCTCCTCTTGGATCATAAGGCTACATGAAGCATTCTGAGTTGGGTTGAACTTTAAGCTCCTGCCTGGTCTTCTGGGGGACCCTGTGGGTTTTCTCTCAGTGTGCTGGGCTAGGGGACACTGGTGATACTTTTGCCACTTCTGGGATTCACTCAGGTCCTATCTCAGATTTTTCCCTTATCCTGACCAGACCCTGGGTATTTGATATAGTATTCTCTACTTGCAAAGGAGGGAAATGCAGTTCACAGAAACCAAATATGCCTAAAGTCACATTAGTATAAGCAATTAGCCTGTCACCTTGCAATCCGCACGGATCCCTCCTCATAAGGACTACTTGTGCCACTTTGTTATCTGCTTCCAGGAAGCCTCTTGTGATCACCCAGGAACGGCATCTGCTCCCTAAGTATTTTGTAGCAGCTGCTGCTATTTAACCATCGCACACTGATGGTTACTGGTGCACGCCTCCAGAGACTTCTGATTAGGCTTTGTCTCCTAGAAGGCAAAGGCTACTTGTGTTTCTCTGTCTCCAATGCACTTGCACCACTCTCAGTCCATGGTGTTAGTATATGATTGGTTATCACAAAAACAAAACAACGTGTTGATACATTGGTAAATGAATGAGCATTTATTTCCTGTAACTATGTGTCCCCTTCATTTGGTTATGCTGTGATTGTGGGCTAGGTCTCCTTTTAGCTGTACTGGTCTCAGTCCACTCAGTACCTCAGGTAGCAGACAGGTCCAGTGGGGTCAGGTCTGTTTTCTTACTCTCCCTACAAAATCTGTTGTCTCCCGCTGCCAACTTGATGATTGGCAATTCTGTGACTCTGTGCCTAGGACCTAGGACAGTCACCTCTGCCCCTTTCTCTGTTAAGTCTTTAGGACGCTTCCTTTACTCATTGACTCTGACACCATCACTGCCCTGCTGTGAGGTGGAATGTCCACTCTGTGTGTGCCCTTGATTGTCACAGCCCCTGAGACCCTGAACAGGACTAGTGCCACACTGGGCCAGCAGTATCATCACCATTGGAGGAGCCCTTGCTGCCACTGCACTGCGGGCAGGATTTTTACGGTGCGGCCTCGGAAGTCCCTTTGGGTGTCTCTGGAAATAACTCATTCGGTGGCAGAAGAATAGAAATGCTTAATTTAAACTTTAAAATACAGGCTGGGGTTTATCTCAGTGGGGTAAGCGCCTGCCTGGCAAGCACAAAGTTGTTCAGTTCAATCCTCGGTACCAAAAAAAAAAAAATTTAAAATATCAATTTAAGTTAAAATCCATAGTAAATAGGGAATGGGGGGGGGAGATAATTTTTAAAAAATGTTTTCTATGATAATGTTTAATTCCCAATGACAATTCCCACATAGTTGTCAAGTTTATTGGTTGCAACTGATAGAAACACAATTCAAATTAATTTAAACACAACTAATTTTCTTATAAAACTGAAGTCTAGTGTATCAGGCCCAGGCGGATCCAGTGATATCTATTTTTTTCTTAATCTAATTACTATTTCCTTTTAATTTGGACCTTGACAACTCTTAGCTTAGATACTTTTTTTTTGGAAAAAAAATTTAATAATATTTAATAATTATTATTTTTAATAAAAATAAAAATTATTTTTAATAATAATTTTTAAATATACAAGTTCACTTAATTTCTTATAATGTATTTAATACTTTAAATATCCTGAATTAACAACTATACCAACATACTTTATCCCCAGTGTTTCCGTAGAAGACATTAAAATAAAGCTAAATTATATAAATTTTTTCTTCAAAGTAGTCCAAAGTCTCAGTTCTTTTGGTACAAAAATACTACAAAAGCATGCCAGTGGAAATGGTGAAATGGCATGCTAATATTTCAGGGCACATTTATAACTGTCAGCAATTCTTGAAGTTATTCCAAAATATTACTATCAATCACTTTTAGATCAGTTCTGTACAACTACTCACATGGATAGCATTTTCTTAGACCTCTGAAGATAAACAGACTCACTGGTCTCTTTTGCTGTCCACACAGTAGGCAAGGCAAGTTTGTTGTAGGGTTTAAGTGGAACCAGGCATCTACAGTCTCTTGACTCTACCATATTCAAAACAGAAAAGTTCACTTAGCTACCCTGAAGTCACTCCTAGAAACCTACTATGGCTCATTGGATCTAAATATTTTTCAGAAATGTCATTTTATAATTTCACCTAAGTGATGATTTGGGGATCCTTTAGAAATAGTTAATACCTAGGATAATAAACACCAAAATGAATAATTGCAATAAAGTGCATGTTTCACTTCACAATGTTGTCTTTAGACTGTGGTATGTTGTTTTAGGTGTGTGCTACCTCACATAAAGGATCCCCAGGCATGAGATTCTGGTCTTCTCACTTGTCTTGGGAAGCAGCAGCACTGCGTCTTGGTACACCCATGCAGATGAGGCTATACTAGGGCTATGGCAAAAGGGGGAGGACATTGGAGAAGAGGGAGCACGTGGACGGGTCCTACTATCCTCATGTAGATAATTATTAAATATGCTATAAAGATAATCAACTCTTCCTTTGCAATGACTTCAGAGGCTCTTTTTAGAAGAACACTTCCCCGGTCCAGACAGACTTAAAAGGTCTCCTTCTCCAGCTACTGTACTGCACTACTAAAATGGCAAATGCCTTTGTGCTGTTTCTTCATAACTGAGATATTCCAGTCATCCTACTCCTGGCTAGACATACTCAGCAATATTAGTATCCAGTGTTTATACCGTCTGTGGATTCTTGCGGGACTAAAAACAGGACCACAGATGTTGGAAAGATTTGAATAAGTCTTACACAAATGTTCATAAACTTTTAATCACCAAAAAAATAGAAAAGAGAAATACAAAAGTAAAACACCATCTGCATTCCACTTAAAAGTTTGCCTCAACACAGTGAAAACATTTTCAAACACACTGAGTAATATCTAGTTGAAAAGAATTTCCACCTGTGTAGACTATGTTAAGCTTCTAAAGCTTCTTGAACAAGGGTTCATTTCTCTTCAACACAATGCCCTTTATAGAGCTGGACTGCTTCAGTGCTCCTGGCGTCAAGAGACTGCTTTAAGGCAATGACCAAACACTATATCGAAAGAATCCTACCAAACTTGCACTGTCACAAGCTGTCCAAATTCACTGGAATCCTTTTGTTCATTCCTAAGCCACATCTAACTGGCAAAACTGAGCACAACACTAAAATTACCCCCTGAATTTAGGATGGAATTTGGAAAGTAGTATTTACTTACATGCTAGCCCTATCCAGTGGGAAGATGATCAGAAGGATGTAGCCAATTCTGATAGTGCTTTCTTTTAAGCAGTCTTAGAAGCAGAATAATCTTTTCTCTCTCAGCCAAATTAGTTTCTGAAAAAATATTCTGGTACTGATGGTGCCATTTCCACTGCTAGCCCAATCCCTGTCTGCAGTAGAAAAGAATTTTGTGGTCAGCATGGACCCTGTGTCTTCCCCTGTGCTTCTGAATTAGAATCCCAAGGTCGTGAGCCCCTCCAGAAACATAGGAAGTGAGGGGGAGCAGATTGTAAACTCAGACAAGGTAGACAAGATCAAAATATCCAACAAATACCCTTGTGTTTGGCAAGGGGGGGGGAGGTTATAAGGGAGCTCCTCTACAGTGTTTATTTTGCCTTGGAGAAGTGAATCCATGCCCCAAAAAGGGCCAAGGAGAAACAGTATGCCTTTATGTCACACGAAATGTAGGCATGATGACAGTGCAAAATATATCCCATCCTTGCACTCTTATAGCTGTCAACCCCACTTGCCCTTTGAAAAGCCGGCCATCTGCCCAGCGAGATGGGCTGGGTCTCCTGCGCACGGAACCCTGCAGACCTCAGCAGGCACAGCTCCTGCTTCACCCGCTGCAGTCTGGTGCTCCTCTGTTCCCTTGCATTCCACTCCTTCACCACTCTCAACTCCCCCACCTGCCAGCCCAAACAGTTGTGTTACAAAAATCGGTCATCTTCAGAAAGTCTCTGACCTACATCTTTGACCTGATAGTTCCCTGTGACTATCTCGGTGGGGATTTATACTCAGGGAGAACACACCTGGGTGTGTGGACTGGATTCACATAGCTGATGTCCTCAGAGGTATGCATCCCATCTTCAGAAACAGAAGCTAGTGGTTAAGAAACCATTCCAAAGGCAAGAACCAAGTAATAAACTGAATTGGAGTTAAACCCAAAGCCTGATTATGCATTCACCAGCCACTAACCATCTTAGAATAATATATATGAAGCCCTTACAAGTCCTTGAAAATTTGATAAAAGAGAGAATTTTTGACCTGATTAATAAGGATATGGTAGCTTGGTATATTCGTAGGTATAGTTGAGCCTGAAGTGAAAGGCAAACATCTAAGATGCAAGGAAGATGACTCACTGTGAATGAGTCTCACTGTTTTGTGAGTGATAGGTCCCAAAATTGTGCAGTGTGAAACCTGAACAGCATTGCATACTGTCTGCAAAGGATGGGATAAGTTTGTAACTTCACTTAAGATAAATCACCATGTGTTACATGGTTTTCTTAAAAAAAATGAAATTCAAAGCTTTTTTATTTATGTATCCCTGTAGATTGCAATTTAAAGTTACGGCAATAGATCTGTGATCCACCTGAGTCCCTGCGTTTTCTCACATATGATGCACACACCTATAAAGCAGCAGGCTGTTGATTCCTTGCAAAGCACAGCTCTCTGATTCTAAGGATAAAAATCATATAAATATCAAAACCCAAAGTCTTCTTTTATTTGAAACAACTCTTCATATTTTGACAAGTTAAGCACAAATGAATCATAAATATACAGATTAAATTTCCTTGGAATATGAATGGCTTTAAATTGGAAAAAGAAAAAGTGGCAAAATGCATCTATACTATGCTGAGTCAAGGGCTTTCCAAATTTACATGCATCCTAATAAAACCACAAATGGGACTATTTCCATATTCAAGTGGTCTGCTTCCAATTCTGAGTCAAAATGGATTAAAAAGAATTTAAAACAAAATTTTCTCTCTTCCTGTAAAGAATGATTTTCCTTATCTAGTGTCCCATAGAGTCTTCCTTGAATTTCTCTACTTTCTTTTTGTAGTTAAATAAAAACAACCTGACTATGTCTGATTAAGGCCATGCAAGTTGCTATGTGAACACATCTCTCCCTGACGTGTCACATGTATTGCATAACAGGAACATTTATTATTTGGGTCACTGAATGAAAAACATTGACAAGAAACACTTCCAAAGGGTGAGAAAAATAAATTGCTGCTCACTCACTAGACAGCCCAGATTCTTTATAACACGATGCTTGCCTGGATGCATTAAGAAAGCAATTAAAAGGATGAAAGAAAAGTAAAGTAAGTCATTCCTGGCAAGCTAAGCTATTCACCTGCAAAGACACACAGGGCTACTCTATCCCAAAAGCAGAAGTTACTGTGTGCTCACTGTATGTTCTCACAGGATGAAAAGGGAAGATGCTAGGATTTCCTGGAGAGGAGCTGGTATGTGGGTTTAAGGTGACGAGGTTTTAAGGTGATATAGACTTAAAGACGAGGGTTTAAGGTGATCACAGAATCACAGAGTGTTAAGTTGAAAAAGAAGCAGTCAAGAGAGAGCCAAAGAGTTGAGTTGGGCAAAGAACAGAGGTGCTAAATGGTCAGAAAGATAAAGACAATTAAACCAGAAGCCCATTTCTTGGTAGTAACCATTATTGTTAGGTGTTAGCATGATGTATTTTGAATGTGACAGAGCCTTGCCGTTAAGCACCATGCAGGTTGGCTTTGTCTTATTAAAGCACGAAGCTTAAGAAATACTGAGATTAAGTGCATACCTGACAAAGACTGCGGGGAAAGATCTATAGTCCGTGACTTTAACCTTACAAGCAACTCTTGATTTTCAATATCACTTTGGAGAGCAGTGAGGTAGTTTCAGTATACAGGCTTACTACTTACATTTCCATTGTAGCCATCTGCATGGCATCTTGTAATCTTGCCTGTGCCATGCTGAATTTAGAAATGGGTCAAGAAAAAAAATTGGTAGAATCCAACTCAGAAAAGTCGTAAGTAATCTTCAGTTGTGCAGAGTAGTATAAAATACTTCTAAGTATCTATTGTTTCTTTCTAGACTCTAAGTCCAGAAAGGAGGCAATGCTATTATACTTTCCATTTTTTCCTTTCACTGGCAGATTGAATGGCTCCTGGGCATAAAATGGTGTTGAAGAATGGCCAGACCATATCGATAATATGGATTTCAGTCATTTTGAACCTCAGGTATTAACACATCTTGCACTTTGGTTGTTTGAAGGCCGCACAGCTGTCAGTCTGCCTGAGTTGAGGTCCCATTATGAGAAATCTATGGATAAAGTCAGCATCTAACCTTGATTGGCCTCGACCCTTTGAAATGTTCAGGTAGAGTCTAGAATAATGTTGGCAGACAGCTCCTCAAGGGAATAATCAATCACTGCTTTGTGGCATAAAGGAACCATGGTTTACAATGTGTCCAATTAAAATTATCTGGGAGCCAAACAGAAGAAAATAGGAACTCATTATCTTTAGATTTCAAACATGTTCTTTTGAATAGTGCCCTGGAGAAGAGTGTCTACCATGTCCAAGTAGTCATGTGGAGGACCATGAAATGAGCTACTTATTTAAATAAAGACCAAGGGAAATTGTTTGATGTGATGAACAGAACATTGGCCATATGTAGAGCTGAAGACATTAGGACTTAACACTCTGTTGGTGACCCCCCCACCCCCATCTCTGAGGTGTTGAATGAATCTTTTAAAGCCTCTTTGGGTCTCAGTTGCATTATCTGTAAAACAGGGAAAATAGTTACCTTGACGTCTATATCAAAAGAGATACTATAATCCCCTGCACTTAGTATCCTTCAGCAGAGGCTGGGCCCTTTGCCTGCTTCTTTTCCAAGTTTCCTTACTTACAGGAAATATTTTTAGGCTAGTATGTGACTCGGCTTTCTGTCACAGTAACAAAATATTGGAAAATCAGTTTAAACAGAGGAAAAGTTTATTTTGGCTCACGATTTCTGATGTTTCATTCTGTGCTTGCTTGGCCTTGCTTCTTTGGGTCTGCAAAGGCGCAGTACATCATAATGGAACACATGGGAGAGGAGGCCTGTTCACTTGCTGGTGGCTGGGAAACAGACCGAAAGAGGGAGGGGCTGAGGCTCCACTGGCCCCACTTAGGGCATGCCTAGTAACTACCTCCTTCCACTAAGACTTACTGTACC